CTGTTAATAATAGGAAGGAAGTGAGACAATAGAATTTTAAATGACAAGTTTTTGTTTTAAAATTATCTTTGCTGCATAGAAATCTACAACAATGTATGTGATTATTAATGTATTTTAGTTCACACATGGTTAATTTTGTAAATGACCTTTAGATTTGTATTTCTAGAGGAGAGACTATTTCTTCTCTTTAGGGGGTGATGTGATAGACAGGGAGATAGTATTGCTCTATGTATAGTTGCCCTGTGCCTGGTGTTGATCCTTTTAGTTTAGGAGGCCCAGTGGGACTTCTGGCCGGATGGAGGCATCAGTGTTGTCCATAGAGGAAGTCCTCCCCGAGTGCTGCCCACACAGGATGTGCTCTCTGAGTACTGTCCATACAGGAAGTTCTCCCTGAGTGCTGATGAGTGCTCTTCCTGGTGGTACCAAACCACTTGTGCAGGAAAGGCTGAGGGTCTGCTAATACAACCACCCCATTTATTCTTGAGTGACGTTGTTTTCTATCCATTTTGGCATGCAAATTAAGCCCAAATAAATATTATCAAGAAAGTGGAATTAGCTTGTTTCCTTTGCCCTGGGTGATACAAGAATGTAGTTTACCTGACCTGCTAATGGGAAAAATTAGGCTGGAGAAAGCTGCGCAACTGCTAGGCTCTTTTGGGATGGGTGGGTACTTAGCTGTGGTTATCCAGCCACCAGTTCCCCTAATTAGATTGAATGTGTGTAAATAGTTGCAAGCTTCGTCCGAAGAGGATCTTTTCAAGTTCCAAGGCAGCTTAGGGTTTGAGAGGCAAAATGTAAAAGGACTATCAGTGATGAAAATGAGTGATGAGCTGGGTAAAATATTTCCCTTTTGGTCCCTTTCTAAGCTTTTTAAAATTTTGTTGAAGTTTATCATTTGTCCTGCCAAGACACATACTCTAACTACAAAGTGTAATTGCTTTAAATTTCTCAGAGTTACGAAGCTGTAGTTAAAGACTTATCAGTACTTGCATTTTAATCTATGAGTGAGGGTTTAATTTTTCAGTTTAAAGTCATATCATCTTAAAATGTTGACTAATGGTCAGCAATAATATGCTGAATCTTTCCAAAGTTGTTTGTAGAATTTATTCTTTAATGAAAAGATTTATAAAGTAGAATTTTTAAAACCAATTCTTTTAAGAGCTAATCTTTTTTTTTTTTAAACACTATCAAGTTGTTAACTTAAAGGCACCTTTTACTTTTTAAAAAACATATCTGCCAATGGTATTATCACATTTCAGAGAAGCTTGAATTTTGTAATTAGCAAAAGTGATGGACACAGAACATGGAAGAATACAAATAGGACATTCAGGATGTAGAAAGTGTTTTGGGGTGCCACTTAGAGTACTGTTTGAAGGCTCTGGCTTTGTTTTCTAGCAGACCTGGGTTCAAATTCTAGACCTTCCACCTTCTAAATATGTGTGGCCTTCACACGTTGCCTAACCTTTCTTGAGACTCAGTTTCCTAATCTGTAAAATCGGAGAACAATAATGTATCTGCCTATCTGCATTAAGTATGGTAATGTATATAAAGTACTCAGCAGAGTCTCTGGCGTAGTCAACATGTAATATATCCTACTATTAAAATGGTTATTAACTCATTCTGAATAGTCAGGAGTAAACAGTTTTTTTGTATTTGAATTTTCTTTTTTGAACATGTATCTAGTGTTTAATCAGGTATTTTTAGTTTCAGTGACTTCTAAAAACTTAATCTTTGGTTTAAAAATTTCTGCACCAGAAAATTAAAAATTGACAACCTAGAATAATTCAATGCTCCTCTCTTTCAGTTTTCTTTCTCTGTCTTCAGTAAGCCCCAAGAAAGACTTGACTTGGGAATAAAAATTGAATTTGAACTTTGTTCTATATAGGATTCACCAGAGGCTAGTAGTCCTCATTGGGTACATTTAGGAACCCCCTTCTTCTGCCTGGGATCAGATGTTGGGAGATTTTATTCCCTCACAGGGCAAACTTACAGCGGCAGCAAGGAGGCACAGGTTCTATCTGCTTCCCACAGTGCGAAGATACTACTGTAGTAAATACGGATGCCTGTCAAAAATATATTAAACCAGCTATTTAAATTCAGTCATGTAAATCATAGTTTTATTTTCGCCAAAAATGAATACATAAATAAAAACCTATGACTTTCATGTCTATATAATCTCTAAATAAGTCATACCTCCAAATGTTTCTTTAATTATACAAGTGCATGCCTGCCACTCCCTTTCCACTCCTGGCAAAATCAAAGGTTCCAGTGAATCCAGCCTTGGAATGCAGTCTTTTAAACGCCTGATGGTTCATTTGCTTCTGTGTTGATGTAATCCCACTAAGAGATAGGGGGCGGGCCTGATCCATAGCTTGTTGCTGACTTCTCCAAGTCTCATCCCAGATGACCACGTTTCATCTTGAGCCCAACAGCTGCAGTAAACATACTGGGTCCTACTGTGAAAACAGCGTGGCCGGTGTCAGGGATGGTTCCTGAGACACTAATCAAAGCATATTGAAGAGAAAATTCAGTCCTGTCTAGCTCTGATAACTACAAGTTCTCCGTGTCAGTCAAAGGCTTGGGACAGGGAAGCTCGTGTGTGGGCTACTTTCCAATCCCTCTGTTCTCACTGATGTGAAACATAGAGGAGGGCTGGATGGCAGGTAGCAACTGAGTGACTTCAGAGAAGGAGCACAGGCTTTGTGGGGCATGGCCGGTGCTCTGAGGTGCCACCTGTGGCAGAGCACATGACAGAGTTTGGTCTTAGTTTTATATCTAGAAAGCAAAGTTATTAGCCCCTAGAGAAAAACCGGTGGCTTGGGGAAAGGATATGAGTTCAGCTGCTCATTAAGGACATGAATCAAATAGATTTGGTAGGATGTGATCTCAGGATGCTTTTATTGAGGGGTTAAGCTGTACTTATGTTCCCAGTTCAAGTTCAGCTTTCAGTGAATAGCATTTCTGTGTTGACTATTATTGACCCTAGCCGCTTTCCTTCTAAAAGAGAATCTCCTTAAATAAAGTGGTGTTTGGACCCAGATGATACCTTAGCAAGGAACTTGGGCAGTGGGAGGAAGAATCTGAAAGATATAGGGCCAGAAGAAATGGTAACATATTTAAATAATTGGGGCTGGGTGTGGTGGCTCATGCCTATAATCCCAGCAATTTGGGAAACCGAGGTGGGCAGATCACCTGAGGTCCGGAGTTTGAGACCAGCCAGGTCAACATGGTGAAACCCCGTCTCTACTAAAAACACAAACATTAGCCAGGCATGGTAGTGTGCACCTGTAATTCCAGCTACTCAGGAGGCTGAAGCAGGAGAATCGCTGGAACCCAGGAAGCAGAGGGTTGCAGTGAGCCGAGATCACGCCACTGCACTCTAGCCTGGGGGACAGAGCGAGACCCCATCTCAAAAAATCAAAAATAAAAATAAATTAATGAGATCACCACATATTGGGATATTATGGAATTAGGATGACCATGACAGAAGCTGGGTACAAAATTAGGAATCTATAGTGGGCAACAGAGGTTGCTGATGAGGTAAATGAGGGTATGTTTATTGCAAGGGGTCTGCTTTTCAGCTTTCCACTGTGAGATTTGATTTGTCTTCAATAGACATGTCTGACTGGTAAAAACCAGTCCATGAGATTTGAACCTTTTGTTGATTGTCTAGTGACTGTTTAATTTTGAATGTTCAAACTATTCATATGAGCGATGTCCTTAAGTTAGTACAGTATATTTATTTATTTTGAGATGGAATTTCACTCTTATTGCCCAGGCTGTAGTGCAATGGCACGATCTCGGCTCACCTCAACGTCCGCCTCCCGGGTTCCAGCGATTCTTCTGCCCCAGCCTCCTGAGTCTCTGGGATTACAGGCATGCTCCACCACACCCAGCTAATTTTGTATTTTTACTAGAGACAGGGTTTCTCAATGTTGGTCAGGCTGTTCTTGAACTTCCAACCTCAGGTGATCTTCCTGCCTCAGCCTCCCAAAGTGCTGGGATTACAGACATGAGCCACCGCGCCCAGCTGTACAGTATGTTTATTATTTAGAAAATGTGAGGTGAAAAAAAGTCCCTCTCCTGTTGTGAAATGCTGCATGTTTGCTGTGAGGACACTTGGGGTTGTGTGCCTTTTCATCTCAAGCTGGGCCACTTAACTTCCTTAAAGTCACGTGTGTGGGACTGGGTCAGAGAACTGTGGTTTCTTTCTATTGGTGCATGGAGAATTATCTGGTGTGAGTATAATATCAGACATTCTTCCTAGGTGGCTGCCGACTGTAAAACCACACTGAGCCCTTTGGTTATAGGCTTTACAAGAGTTGCGATGGGTGCTGCAAGCTGGGAAGGTTTCCAGCTTCTACAGCATTCTCACAGGAGTTAAGTTTCACAAGGTTAGCCAGAGCGAAAGGCAGCCTGCCTGGGAATCTTACCCAGATGTCTCAGTGAAGTCCTGTGCCTATCTTAGAACTAGGTGAGATCGTCCTTTTTGGAGGATCTGGATTAAACTCTTAACTTTCTTATACTTCAGGAGTAATTTTTTTTGATGAGTCATCCTAATAAAATTATAAGCAACTTTCAATCAAACGTTCTTCAGAATTTGAAAACCTTTTCAAAAGTCTAGTGATTTCTGAATTACTGTGTATTAAGATGGTATCATCTAACTTCATGTACGTTAATTGTGAGTCTCAGTAGATGTGTTCCTGAAAATATGTGAATACATTAATCTAACATAAATTTAGTCACATTTAAGGTGCACACAGAGAACTTTTACTGAGTAAAATCCTTTTATCAATTTCATGTTGCAGAAGACGGCTTTTTAAAAATAGCATGAACAGTCCTTTTTTAAAATGTAAATTAAAATTTATACCTCAAAGTAGCTTAAGGTAATCTGTATTGAAATCTTGGTAACTTCATTTTATTTGGGAGATCATACAGCCTCTAAATGGTGTCAGTCTCCTAATGCTAGCATACTAAGTCTCCTCATCCTTGTTTTTCAGCAGTCTCTGGTCCCAGCCCACCCCATGGCCCCTCCCAGTCCCAGCACCACCAGCAGTAATAACAACAGTAGCAGCAGTAGCAACTCAGGATGGGATCAGCTCAGCAAAACAAACCTCTATATCCGAGGACTGCCTCCCCACACCACCGACCAGGACCTGGTGAAGCTCTGTCAACCGTAAGTAACAGTTTTTCTTGTTATTTTAGCTGCTCAGTATTTTCTTGATCATATTATAGAGTGATATATACCGCATTATAAGAGGAGTTTATAGGTGGTATCTGTGGACTCTCAGTATCGCAACAATAAAATGGGTTTCAAGTGTTAACTTCTTGAATACTTTTTCAGTCAATATTAACATCATCAGACTGGCTACATATCAAAATGAATTGGAGCATTTTCTTAATAGAATTTGACTTTATGGGCATATGAAAAGTAAAATATGAATTTTTGGAAAAAATGTATGGCTAGATATTTTTTTTAAAGTTGTCATTTTTTGTGGATGCACCTCTGAGGGTCTGTCTATCCTATGAGAGGAACTTTAGCTATCATTGTTTGTAAGAAAGGTTGTTAACCATCTTACCTCATCCTGAATATAAGCTCTTAATTCCAGCTGGGACCGTATTAGTCTGTTCCCATTAGCATCCATAGTTTTGTGGTCTGGGTTGTTCAACCTCATCTCTTTAAGAATAAGAACTCAATTCTACCCATTCAGTGTGTTATGAAGAAATGTGTGCATGTGCATAAAGTTCCAAAGTAAATTTGCATTATATGCTAATGTTGTCAATGAATAGTAAATTTGCATTATATGCTAATGTTGTCAATGAATAGAATATAAATGTACTGCTTTGCTGCAATTACATTAACTCACTAAGAAAGCACTAATTTAAAACAAGCAGCCAGAAGCACTATATAGTGCAAAGATCATTGTGTAAGGACTGAAAGCATCAAATTGCATCAAGCTATAAAAGCCTACACATATAACAGCACTTTTTATTTATTCTAAGACAATAATGGTCCCTTATAAAGATGATTTTGCATAACTGCAGTAGAAAACTTTTGCTAGAGAATGTTTCCTATTCCCTGAATTTCAAAACGTCTGACTGATAACATCTCATTTCTCTTGTGTGTAAAATCCAGATTCATTAGTTTTTTTTTTTTTTTTTAAGAAAAAAAAATTCAAAGCTAACTTGGTCAGTTATTTCCAAACTGGAACTAAAAGTAACATCTGGCCTTCCATGGGTGGGGGAGGGGGTGATGGTTGTTTTGCTGTCTTTTGTTTTGAAAGAGGAGGGTTGGGACAGTAGGTGGTGGCTCTTTAAGATCTGGAGAGCTTTCTAGAAGGCCATCCCTTCTCAGCACTCTCCGTGTGCCTTTTCTGTGTCCCCGTTTTTGACCAGCCCTTGTGGACTTCAACTCCAATCCCTGGCTTTTGGGGCAGTGAAATAATGTATTGCACTAGGGACTGCTGTGAAGCAAGCCCAGCTCTTGGGGTTTGTCATTGCTGGCTGGAGGCAGAGGGAACCCTGCCAGGCACGCCCTGCCCTATTGCAGCTGTTCAAGACCACAAATAGGCCTTTTGCTATCTCCTCTGCTGCTGGCCTTTCAGTGGCGTCATATTATGTTTTTGCAGTGTAATTACAGGTAGATAGAGTGCCATAAAGTCTAAGGAACTAAAAATATGACTGTAAGAAACAGAAGAATGAAGCTGACTCTCAAATTCATGAGGTGTAAGAGAAAGGGAGTGGAATTCAAAAGACAAATTGTTCTCCAGCTAGCGTTGAATTATGTAGGGTGAGTTTTGATGTCAAGGAGACAATTAACGGTAAGATACTGGAGTAACACCATGTTTTATATACAGTAAATAAGTACTTGAAAAATTGAGCCAGTAATTTTTTTATTGAACCAAATCATATTCCAAATGTGGAAGAACATTTTACCATTTTTTCTAGCATATTCATTTCCTTTTTGCTGTTCTCTTTGACATATATGGATTTTCTTAACATGTGTAAACATTATTCTCCTTGCTGTTATCAGTAGCAGCAATAACGTTGCAACCCTCACTCTCTCCCATCACTTGCAAAAGAAGGCTCTTGTAAAATTCCAGGTTACCTACTGAAGTCTGATAATAGTCTTCTTAATATGTACCATACAGAGGCAAAACATAATAATAGAGGACTCTGTCTCAGAATTTGCTGGAAACGTCATTCCATTTAACACAGAGAATGTAGTAAATACCAAATTTGACTTGCCGAGAGTTTCGTGTCTTAGAATGTAGAAAAAGCACAAAAGAGCTTCCCTGTTCTGGACTTAATTGTTTCCCATAAAGAAGAGCTAGTTGGTGATATAGAAGTGACAAGAACCTTTTGAGAAAGTAACTCATCCTAGAGCTAAAAAACCCAGTGGACATAATTAGAGATTTTAGAAAAGTAGGTATCAGAAACTTCTCAGAAAAAAATAGATATAAATCCATACCTCTAAAAAAGAAAAGAAACACTTAGAACTAAAACTTAGCACCATAATTACAAATTGACCTGATGAGGCTGAATTGGGAGGGAAACAAAGGAAACAAATGATTTGGCTCTCCAGGGGGCATGGATATTTTAGAGGATTATTTAACAGAAAGATGGGGACAAGCCAGGAATGTTAATGATGGTGGCCCAATTCCATACAAACAGTGCATGAAGTCCAAAGGTTGAGTATTACATGAAAATTTTAAAAACTGGAGAGGAAAACAAAAAATATTTTTTAAAAACTGTGTTTGAAGTAGAACATAAGTATGCTGTAATGTTAGAGGAGGTTATAGTGGAAAAGCAACTGTGATGTTGAGATGACAAGGAAAGGCAGCCCCACCCAGACTCCAAAGAGAGAGTCATGCCCGACCTTGGAAAGTGTAGATCACCATGACTAAGAGGAGGAGGCATGTGGGACAGGGGCTCAGACCAGAAGCCAGGCAGCCTAAGTTCCTGACACAGGGTGGTGATGGTGGTAAGTCAGGTAATCTGAATTGAAAAGAGATAAATTGTCTAGAAGCATTTAATGAAAGATGTCAGCCAGCTCTAGTTAACTTCTAAATTGTAAAACACATAGGAAAAATCTTGGAACCTTGACTGCTGTAGGCTGCTGCAACTTCGCTCCCTATATTTAAGAGGTTATCTGTTCACAAAGAATATATCAGTATAGTTAACCAGCAAGTACTGGAAATGGAACAATCTAGGTAACCCAAAGGATTCATCTGCTATCCCTTGGCTTAATATTCTTCCTTCTCTGAAATCAAGCCAAACAAACACTATGCTTGACTCTGCTTATCTGTATGGTATTTGTCATATAAATATTTGCCAATGCAATATTTCTCTCATTCAGACTTCTCAGGCAGACTTTTTAGTTGGATGAATTGAGGGCTCCTGTTGCGTCCATTTTCTTGACATCTTAGCCATTTTTATTTTGCCTTCAGACTTTCAACTGAAACTGCACTAGCATCTTAAATATCTCCTTATTTTCCTTAGCTTTTTTTTACTCTCATCTCTCTCCTCCTTGACTCTCTGCCCTTCTGGTTTCTGTTTTCTTGGCTGGCTCCTTCATAGCCCCATCCTCCGATAGGGTTATTCTCCACTGTTTCTACTTTCCTGCACATTTTCCACTTGAATATTTTAATTTTACCTCAAGTTCAAAATATCCTCTCTCTCAACACTTTCCTAAACATGAAGCTTTAGGAGTCAGCAGCTCCTTCCCTTTGTCCCTTAGTCACTAAGTTTTGTGGATTCTTCTTTGACCCTTCTTCTTCCTCCTTCTCCCTGCCAGAAGAACAGGGTGACTCTCCCTCTCTGCAGTGTGACAGGAGAACCATTTGCTCTTCTGCTACCTCCCCTCTGGGACCTCCCCTCCCCACCTCAATTCAGCAAGGCCAATTCCAAACTCTCTGCCTCCTTTATGCTTGGACCACCCCAGTAACTCTCCTCTTTATTTTTAAATTTTTACCTATTGCCAGCTCATAATCAGCATCTTACTTTCATAGGGTCCTGATCTCCAAGTGCCTGTTACATTACTTAGCCATATGTCTGTGACAATGTATGATGCTAGCACCGTATTTCCTTATACAGATTTGTCACCCAGACTACAAAAGAGTTGTAATCAGGATTGCTAGGTTTGGTATCCCAGAGTTACCTCAAAGTGCCAGGCAAGTACTGAATTCTCAGTCAGACTGTAAAATAGGTCAAATCATGTTATTGTAAAAAATTGTGATAAGCATTAAATCAAATAATGTAAGTAAAAAAGCTGGCCCAGACCCTAGAACACGATTGTCACTGAACAAGTATTAGTATCCCTCGTTTCTTCCATCCTTGAAATTCTAACTACTAGAATAAGCTTAACTTATATTCAATTCTACATTTAAAACAAAGGAGGAGAAAGCCCCATCAGATTCTGATTTTGAAAGCTGAGAAAGCCAGGAAAGTAGCTTATGCTAACCTAATCTCCAACCTCCTTTTTCTTGAGACATTTTTTTGGGGTGGGGTGGGTAGGGAGGGCTACAGGCATATCTTGTTTTACTGTGCTTTGCAGATACTGCTTTTAAAAAAGTGCATTGAAGGTTTGTAGTAACCCTGCATTGGGCAAGTCTGTTGGCATCATTTTTCCAATAGCGTATGCTCACATTATGTCTCTGCATCACATTTTGGTAATTTTTACAATATTTCAAACTTTTCCATCACTATTATGTCTTTTATGGTGATCTGTCATTAGTGATCTTTGATGTTAGTTGTTTTGAGGCACCACAAACCGTTCCTACACATGGCTTAATCATTAAATGTTGTGTGTGTGTGCTGACTGTTCCACTGACCGGTCGTTCCCCTTTTCTCTTTCTCTCCTCCCTATTCTCTGAGATACAAAAATATTGAAATTAGGCCAAATAATAACTCTACAGTGGCCTCTAAGTATTCGAGTGAAAGAAAGAATCTCCCAAATCTCACTTTAAAAGCTTTTAAAATAAAAATTAAGCTTAGTGAGAAGGGGATGCCAAAAGCCAAGTGAAAGCTAGGCCTGTTGCACCAAACAGTTAGCCAGGTTGTGAATGCAAAAGAAAAGGTGAAGGAAATTCAAAGTGCCACTCCAATGAGAAAATGAATAAGAAAGCAAAACATCCGTATTGCTGATGTGGAGAAAATTTGAGTGGTCTGAATAGA